GAGGGGGGAGATGATTGATGGGAGGGAAGGAGGGGGGGAGATGATTGATGGGAGGGAAGTGGGGGGGAGATGATTGATGGGAGGGGGGAGAAGATTGGGGGGGAGAAGAAGAGAAGATTATGGGGGGAGAAGAAGAGAAGATTACGGGGGGAGAAGCAGCGATTACAGGGAGGGAAGGGGGGAGAAGAAGAGAAGATTACAGGGAGGAGAAGAAGAGGAGAACACAGGGAGTGGGGAATAAGAGGAAAACACAGGGAGGGGGGGAATAAGAGGAGAACACAAGGGGTGGGAGATGAGAACGTAGGGGAGGGAGAGACCACTAAAGGAGGGAGGGGGCGGTGGAGAGACCACTAGGGGAGGGGTGTGAGGAGAGACCGCTAAGGGAGGGGGGTGGAGGATAGACCACTAGGGGAGAGGGTGGGGGGGAGAGGAGAGACCACTAATGGAAAGTCGGGGAGAAAAGGAGACCACTAAGGGAGGTGGGGGGGAGAGGAGAGACCACTAAGGGGCAGGGGAGATCTCTAAGGAATGGAAGGGAGAGCTCTATAGGACAGGGGGACAGGGAGCTCTTTCACACCACGCACACACACACACACACACACAATGCATCCCTATACACACAGAAACACAACATGCTTCCCTTACACACAGAAAAACACACAATGCAACCCTTACACATAAAGACAATGCATCATTTGCACATATACACAGAAACACACAATGCATTCCTTACACACACATGCAAACACACACTGCTTCTCTTACACACACAGAAACACAATGCATCTCTTACACACACTCAACGCACCCCTTACAGACACACACACTGCATCCCTTACATACACAGAAACACACTTTGCATCCCTTATGCATACAAACACAGATTCACACAATGCATCCCTTACACACAATACATCCCTTATACACAAACACACACACACACTGCTTCCACTACACACAAACACACTGCATCACCTACACAAACTGGTATCCCTATACACTACATTACGTAAGCACACACATTAGATCCTCTACAGTAACACATAACACATCCCCTACACACTCCACTCCCTGTGAGCGAACTCATGGGTGGAACATGTAGGTGGACTTATGGGTGGGCTTTATGGGCATACTCACCGTCAGGCCCTGGGGCCCAGACCTTGAGCTGTGTAAGAGGCCCCAAAAAATGGAGCTGCTTCCCGTTCTCCCAGAACATTGAATTTTGTGACCACAGTTACAAACAGCCTCCAGAGATCCTGTTCTACACCAGACCAGTGGAGCCAGAGCCCATCACCATCCTCATCTGGTTGTAAGTAGGCAATCTAGTATATTATTAGTGACACTAATCTCTAATTTACCTCACATTAAATGGACACTACAGTCCCCAGAACCACTGCAGCTTAATAAAGTTGTTCTGGTGTCTATAGTTTGTCCCTGCAGGCTTTTTAATGTAAATACACACTGGGGGGGGGAAGGGGCGGCAAATCCTTCTTTTGCCTAGGGCGGCAAAAATCCTTGCACCGGCCCTGGTTACCAGGTGGCAAGTAGAGAAGGGACATTCCTTTGCTGCTATTAAATACAACTAGCAGTGGCTTATATAGGGTATATATGGGTATTTCTATTTATTCCCCTTCATCCACTTACAAGTACAGCCCCCTGTTCTTCTCTACTTGCCACCTGGTAACTATACTATTTATTCTGTTAAGTTCAGCAGCTACTTCTGGGATCCCCTTGTTTCAAGGGTCTCCGTCATTCAGCTATATTTCTTTCTGGGTTACCCCCTATATTGTAGCTCTGAGGTAGGCTCTTTTTAAGATAGTTCTCACCAATTCACATATTTTTGTGATTATGGGGATCTGTCTTTTCATTCCTTTTTACAAGAAGGAAAAGCAGTTTGTGTGTGCAAACTGGCTATATGTATGTACCACAAAGGTACTGGACAGACTGTCCCCGCAAATTCTCGACCAGAATGGTTATGTTGGCTGACAACAGTCAGAGAGGCCATTCAAAGTAAGCATTTCTTTAATATCATTATAGACGAGCCCCTAAAGTAAATTAGAACGGAGTGAACCAGGGGAAGGAGGGGCATTGCTGCTGAGCCCTAAAGGTTAAGAATTGTATTTGTATTGTGTCCTTCTAAGCAAATGTCTTCATGAAAAAGTTCTGAATCCACCGGAGAAAATCCTAATGATGAAAACATTACTGTAGCTATTTTATACATTGTGCTATACTCTAAAAACATTAAAATGCACAGAGGAGAATTGTGCAATACATGACGTGACAGAAAAATGTGCACCCCGACTGCCACTTTATCAACACAATAAATCCACCAAGTTACCTACTTATGACAAGACTCTCTGAGTCAAAGTGTCTTATAAGTGTAAATAGTTTTACATTATTAATAATCATCTAAAAAAACAAAAACAACAAAATACCATAACCACCTTTGTTGCTTGTATAAGTCAGGAGTGGGCATTCGTCGTCACTCCAGATGTCATGGACTACATCTCCCTTGATGCTTTGACAGCATTATGGCACTAAGAACATGATGGGAGATGTAGTCTACAACATCTTGAATAGGTTATGGTTCAAAGAAGATGTACTGACTGTTTCAATGTACTGATGTACTGATAGTTTGCAA